CACCCGGAGGCCTCCAGAAGCTCGGGTCTCAGGGTTGAAATCCTGCCTCCCACCGCCGTGGCCCACCCAGCTCCTGCCAGCTTCCGTTCTCGGCCGGCTCCCCTGGACCTGGGGTCTCCCCTGGCCTTCCGGACCTACTGAGACATGGCTGCGCCGTTGCCCTGGGCCCTGCCACCTGCTGACCATCCCGAGCGGGCCCACCAGCTGCTCAGCCAACTGGCCAGTCAGTCATCCCGCTCAACTGCTGACCGCGTCCAGGCCCAGCCCCAGGCACAGGGCCTGGCGTGATAGACACTCAGCAGGTGCCCCCAGCGTGAGCGAACGAGCAGCAGCACAGAAGCGGAGACAAACGCCCTCCCCACGGCCACCAGGGTTCGTTGGAGGAGAAAACAAGTCTTGGTGTCAACTCAGTTACTGCTGAGGGAGTCCGTGTGGCAGCTGCCCAGGCTGGCAGGGTGGGCACACAGATGCCGAGAGCAGGCCCGCCCTGTGATGGGACTGGCTGGGGACACAGGAAAGGAAATTCTACTCCCCGGTGCTACAAGGATCTCAGCTGCGTGCCCTGCGAGTCCTTCAGCCCTTCACGTGGGTTTGCTGGTTTCAGCGTGGACTTGTGACTGTTGCTTGGTAACGGGGGGATGTGGTCTTCCTGTCTCAACACCGTCCTCTTCTCCCAGCAAAGAGGGGTGTCCTCCAGGACAGGCTGCATGAATTCAGGTCCCGCGTCCTCACTGCTTTTCCTCTCTTCCCGGGTTCCCAGAGTCTAGCACCACATGATGCAGTAGGTGCTCCGGAAACATTTCCCCGTGAGTGAATGCGCAAAGGGCTGTAACTCCAGAAGCTCACTGGAAATTATCTTAAAAACCAAAAAAACAAACAAAAAACACAAGGGCCCAGGGACACGCAGTGACGTCCTTGCAGTCTCACAGCTGGTGAGGAGCTGAGCCAATGACACCCAGGTGAACAAAACCCTTGTGACCAGAGACTTGGACCGGCCTGGGTGGGGGGCGGGAGGACGTGAAAAGTCCGCTCAGCTGCGTTTCCCACTCAGAAATATTTATGGAGGCACAAGTCGGTTAAGGGCAGGTGTGGGATTGTTTTTGTGTTTTTTGTTTTTTGCATCGGGGTCATTTGTTAATCATGTCTGTAGAGGGGTTGATTAGATTAAAAAAAAAACAAAATTAAAAAAACCCGGTTTTATAGTCTAAGGCACTTTTCTCAGTCTGTCCTGCCCCGACAAAAAAATCTGGGAGAGCCGTGAGCTTTGTGTCTTAGCTTCTCATGTGTGTGGCAGTAGAGACGGGGTGTTCTACTAGGGAGACTGTGTTTTGAAGAGTGTTTTTATTTAAATATATTTGTATTGATTTCAGAGAGGGAGGAAGGAAGGGAGAGAAGCATCAATGATGACAGAGAATCACCGACCGGCTGCCTCCTGCACGCCCCCCACGGGGGTGGAGCCCGCAACCCCAGCGCGTGCCCTAGTGTGTAGGTCAGTGCTCAGCCACTGAGCACACCCCAGACTGAAGAGTGTTTCTTGTCCTTACAGACACTAGGTCAACACGGACTGACAGGCAACATGTCTCATTCCAGCTTTTGAATCCAATGAGGCCACAAGGTGGCGCAATTTTGCCACAAAAATCATTTCAAACCTGGGGAAGGGCCAGTGAGGAGCTGGGGGCCTGCGGGAGGAGGGGCAGGGTGTGCGGGCTCCGGTTTGCCCTGGGGTCTACCTGCTCCTGGAGGCCCAGGGTGCAATCTCTTCCTGCAGCCCCGGGGACTGTCCCTGGGAGACAGCTCGCACTGGAAGGGACGCTACCCCTGAAGACGTGATGGCATCGATTTCATCGGGGTGTGGGTTTTATTGCAAACTCAAAATATGCCATGTTTGCGGAAACTGACAGGAGCCTTCCCTCCCTGCGTGGCAGCGGTTCTTGCTCTACCTCCTCCCCTTGCCTGTAGTCAGTCGCCTGCAGTGGAATGCAGCCTGGTCCTGCCAGCAGGGGCTGTGCCGCCCACGTGAGACTGGGCCCTGCAGCTCCAAGGAGGATCTGCTTACACCTCCTCTCCAGTACATTTCCTCTGACAGCTTGCAGAGCGCAGGCACCGAGGCACCTGGCTGGGGCCTCCCTTAGAAGACACGGTCCTGTGATATTGGTAAAAACACTGCCAGGTGCGTGTGCGGCCGCTGCCTTCTCATCGGGAGTTGTGGGCATGAGACCAAGTCCGTTCCTTGTCCGAGGCTGGCGGGAGTCCTTGATTGCAAACAGAAACTTCTGAGTGAAGGGACTGCAGACAAAACCCTGAAGAGCCTGCATTTACGTGGGCCACCTCCGCGCACTGTGCCACCGTCTACCCCCTTAAAACTCACCCCCTCAAGGAAGAGTAAACACTGACTCCTCAGGTTAGGAGAACGGGACCTGAGAGAAGTAGCTGGATTTAGAAGATGTTAGCCTTGGTATGAAAATGCATAGTACAGCAGGAAGGAAATGTGGATATCATTTTTATTTAAAGAGAAAAGTTGTAGCTTAAAAAGGGGCACAAGACAAAACTTTCCCATCAGGACAAGACGGAACATTTAAACTCTGCAGGTGGTGACAGCACCAGAAGTTCGACCGTGAACAGCAGAGTGAGTGGCCATAAGTCCTCAGCGCAGAGAGACGAGGACTGGAACTCGGACGGGGCTGCTCAGGTGGCCCTGTCGCTCCGACTGCCGGGAGGGGACCTCGGGGATCTGTGCTGAGAGCACTGCCAGCAGCCGCCCCTTGTCGGGACTTCCTGGCAATGGCAGCCAGCCTCACCCGGAAAGTGCTTGCATAACAGAGTCTACGGTTACCCTCTGTGCACTTGGAACTATTACAGGAACTTGCACGCTTCAGACACTGAATGGGCAGGAAGCAACGCCGCTCTGGCACCACGAGCCCGCGTGTTCGTGCAAGGACCATTCCTCAGACCTGGCCAGAGCCCCAGGGAATGGCTTCGTGTTGGGGTCAGGCAGGCAGTGGGCAGGAGGCCTCCAGCTGGTGTGGGGACAAGAGGAAGTCTCAAAGATGCCCACATCTCTAGGAGACTGAGCCCGGCACACCCTAGAAGACAGAGCAGGAGGAGCGGCCCAGGACCTCCTGCCGCCCAGCAGCTGAAGGAATGACATGGGAGCCAAAAGAAGAAGAATCTTAGCTGACAAAAACGCATTGTCTTGCCCTGGCTGGGTGGCTCACTTGGTTGGAGTGTCATCCTGTCCACCAACAGGATGCGGGTGTGATTCCTGGTCAGGGCACATACCTGGGTTGTGGATTCGATCCCTGAGCAGGGCATATACTAGAGACAACCTATCGATGTTTCTCTCACATCGATGTTCCTCGCTTTCTCTCTCCCTCTCTAAAATCAATAACACGTATCTTCGGGTGAGAATTTAAAACAACACATTAAGTCTATAAAAAGTCATGAGTCTATTATCACGCTCAAGAGAAAAAGCCAGAAAAAATTCAAAATAGTGACAATGTCATCTGGTGTCCTCCCTTTCCCTCCCCTCCCCCACCAGCCTGCGGAGCCTCAGTCCGGGTCCCGGCTTGGCTTTTGCTGACACGGCCTTGGTGTTCGCTTCTCTTCCAGACCCTGAACAGGACACGCTGCGAGGAAGCCGCCTGCTGCTTCCTTTCTCGCTACTGTCACCGCTCGGTGCACACAGTCTGAGAAATCTTAGTGGCAAGGTGGAGAAGACGAGCGACTAAACGCAGCCTGGGGAGCGAGCAGCAGAGCCGGTTCCTGCGCGGGCGGTGGGAGGGCCAGGAAGGAGGGACAGCCCTAAACCAACCGGGCGAAGGGCATTGCGAAACAAGAGGCCCTTGACCAGCTTCCTGCCGGGCCGCGCACCGCGGGCAGCGGGCTGCTCGGTGCCAGGACTCCGCCGGCCCTGGGGGGCAGGAAGTGCTTCGCAATCGTCACCTCGTCCCTGAGCCCATTACAGCGCGGGAGCCAGCACGGCGCCTCCGCGCAGACATCGGTGTCCATCCGCCTGGACGGCTCCTGTGCCGTCCAGCTCTCCTACTTGTTTGAAAGGGAGAGCACGGCGAGCGTTTGGGTCACGTTTGCAGAGGAGGTTCTCTGGGTAGTTTAGTTCGGAGCCTGGTCTTGGGGCTGTGAGCAGTCCAGGTGGCGCCGACCCCACCCTCGCTTCCACACTGCGGTTCCCAGGACCTGGGGGATGGACGGCACCCTGTTCTCCATCCCCCCCAGCTCTAGGGAGCCTCAGGTGCACGCAGCTCTCGCAGGGACCGGACACGTACAGGTGTGGCACCAGGCCACTCCCCACATGTCTAGATGGAGCCCGGCAAACCCCGACGACGGAGCAGGAAGAGCCACCCAGGACCTCCCGCCGCCCGGCCACTGAGCGAGGTCCACTGTTCGGTCAGTCTCCTGTGCCAGCGGCCAGCACTTCCCTGCCGGCCGCCCAGGTGTCCCCTTGTGCTAGTGACAGACAGCGGAGACGGCCATTTTAAAGCAGCCAAGAGACTTCCATCGAAAAGAGAAAAGGCGCCGTGCCCGCTCTGGGAGAGCGCTTTGCAGGCCAGCGGATGCGGGTGAAGTGAGGAGCCGCGGGCCACACGCACCCTCCACGCTGTCTCCCTGCGCTCACCCTGTGGCAGGGCAGCGGGATCACCACCGCGCCCCCGGGCCCCGCCCACCCCAGAGGCCCCTCCTCTCCCTGGTGCCTAGCACAGTGCCCCCTCTCCTGTGCGGCCAGGGACTGCGGCCCCCAGGGACAGGGCACAGCTCTGATCCCCTCAGGGAACCTCAGGACACAGGCGGCCAGCGCACCTCCAGGGCGTCTTCAGGGCAGCACTGGGGCGTTTCTAACGTGGCCCACGAGAAAGAGCCGTCTGACCACTCGGAGGACCACCCTCACCTCAGCACTGGGGAGGGACTCCCTGTGATGCCGATCCTTGTGCTGCAGGGACACGGGCCTGCAGTTCCTTAAAAACACGGCAAGGCATTTCGTCTCCTCACTGACTAATATTTAAGTCATTTATTGCCGTTAAGTCAGCATTTCAGGACACACACTGCATGGACAGGGCAACTCTTCAAACCCGGGGTGAGACCTGAGGGTGCAGCTGGGGGGTCTCATGGTCACTACGGAACAAGGCCAGGGCTCTGAGTCCCAGGTGTGAGGGTCACAGGCTTTGTTCTCTTCCCGTGCGCGTTCAGCAAATTCTAACAGATAACGACACGGCCTCAGAGAAAGCATCGCTGGGGTCACGGAATGCCTGCCTGTGTGACGGCTGGTCAGGGGGAGGAGGAGAGTAGTCAGTACGTGGGAGGCAGCTGGGGCGGGTCAGGGGCTCGGGGGCTCTCGCTGTGGGTGGAAATAGTTGGGTTAGTAAAACGGCACTCAGCGGGTCTTCCTCAGCAGGGCGTCCTGTCCTGATGACGGAGCCGGGTCCCTGCCCGGTCACGCTGCTGCCTTCTTATTCATGCTGCAGGGAGACAAGGACAGGGAGTGTCACTGCCGCCTCAGGGCCCGGAGGCTTTAAGAAGCCCTCACACAACAGCCGTTCCCACTCCCGATGTGATGGAGACACACCCTGTCCACGTGGTAGTCAGTGCATCTGCACGGCGTGGCAGTAACTGCCCAGGCACGGTTTCACACTCAGCAGCTCAGCTTTCTCAGAAACGGGTTTCACATCCGTCTGCACACACTCGTGGCCCAAATGCCCAACACAGGACCGGCCGCTCTCCCCTCCGTCAGCAAAGAGGACGGGCTGGTGCCACTTACTTGTACTTGATGAGCCGCCCGCCCTGGATGAGCTGGGCCACCTCGTTGGTGGCGTGGCACACGAACAGGAGCCAGTTGCGAGGCTGCACCTTGTAGGCGAATCTCATGAAGGTCAGAGAGTAACAGCAGAGGGCTGCAACACCAAGCGGAGGGGAGCAATGACTCACGGTTCAGAGACCTGGGGTGGGAGGGACCCCAGATCCACCGGCACCAGCCTGAGCCAACCAGAGAAACTCTTCCGCTCAGACTGTGACAGGAGGTAAATTCTGGCGGAAAGGCACCCGGAGTGGGAAGCTCATCAGATATCGGACCCTCCTGGTGGGTGCTGTTACTTATCACCCGAACATTTTAAGGATGGGGTGCCGGAGGGAGGGGGTGGGCACCTGAGTCCCAGCCACGGTCCTGTCCCCTCGAGTTGTTCAGTCCCTCACCTGTAGGAACTGCTTTGTCATCCTCTCAACAGCTTTATGGTCAAATATCAGGGTTCAAGTCAATGTAAGAAAGCGTTTTCCGACTACGCCCGAGAGGACACCTCAGCTGGGAGCAGTCAGCCGCCGGCTAGCAGGCTCCAGCCTCCCAAGGCAGCATCTCAGAGCCACCTGCCTCTCCTCCTGTGAGGGGGTGCCATTTCCTAAGTGACTGTCCTGTCCAGAGCTGCACTGGGAGCTGTTTATGCTAATGATGCGGGGACAGGCCGCAGGTGTTCATAGCACACACTCACCGAACGTCATCCGCAGCTGGGAGCAGTCAGCCGCCGGCTAGCAGGCTCCAGCCTCCCAAGGCAGCATCTCAGAGCCACCTGCCTCTCCTCCTGTGAGGGGGTGCCATTTCCTAAGTGACTGTCCTGTCCAGAGCTGCACTGGGAGCTGTTTATGCTAATGATGCGGGGACAGGCCGCAGGTGTTCAGAGCACACACTCACCAAACGTCATCCGCCCACTGATAATCTCTGGAGACTTTTTCATGTCATTGATGGCGGCGATGGGGAGACCCCAGTTGGCTACTGGGCCCCAGAAGTGCTGTGGGGAGACAGGGGAGGGAAGGAAGGGAGAGGAAAAATGAAGGCGGAGCTGTGAACAGCTGGGCTTCTTACTTCGTCAGTGTGAGCCTTGGGAAACAAATCCCCAAGCTTAGGCCTGGGCTCACTGGTCACCCCGTGAAGAGTTTGCCTATGAGTCAGCAGTTCTTACAAGGTGAGTTCAAAGCCAGGAAGGACTGGCAGTTTACCAAGTCCTGGCCAGCTTTCAGAGGTCAACCGAGTAACCTGACTGTCCCATTCAGAGAACTTTCCAGTGAGATGAACTCCCCACACAATTCAGTCTTGCCATAACTTAAAACCTGTGATAACTATTCTCCATAATTTAAGGCTTAAATCTATCAAAACTTCTTTTTCAAATTTTCATTGACATCTTTCAATATGCAGACCCTAAACTGGATACTTTCTCTGAAGAAAGGAACTTTAATATGGGAAATTTCTTTGGGCTCATGTGAGCTATTTTAAGATCTGAGAACCTGGAAATCTACACTAAGATTGGAAAATAGCCCTAGCTGCCTAGCAGGTTTTGCTCAGTGGATAGAGCATCAGCCTGTGGACTGAAGGGTCCCGGATTTGATTCCGGTCAAGGGCACATGCCTAGGTCGCAGGCTCCATCCCCGGTAGGGGGCCCGTAGGAGGCAGCTGATTGATAATTCTCTGTCATCACTGATGTTTCAATCTCTCCCTCTCCCTTTCTCTCTGAAATAAAAATAGCTATTTTTAAAAAGATTGGGAAATATTTGTAAAATAATAGCAACAACTTCTATTTTTAAAATGGACCAACAGCTTTTCATTTTATAATCATGGGGCCGTCCCAGGACACCAATGTTCAGCTGCCCATGCTTAACAGCCAACTCAGGTGTGGAGTGATGAGTGAGGGCTGCATGTGACAGGTTCTGGGAGGCAGGGCATGCACTGTGGCCGTGGGCATGACCGGTACTTAAACACATCTCTTATAAAGTCCCTAAAAGGTAAAATAACTTCCACACTAGCTGGCTAAGGTACCTACCTCAGCAAGTTTAATACGCGCTTTCTAACTAGGGCAGGGCTCTCGTGCTCGCGTCCCTTTTTAAAGTACGTTAGTCTATGCTCTAGCAGATAGTCACCATAAATGTCTAGAAAAAGAAGGAATTTCATGATAAATATTTGAGAGGAAAAAATTACCATATTTTGGATTAAATGAGAAAATTCTATTTCATTATAAATTCGTAACTTGGGTTAAAGAGCATCCAGACGAATGAAGCGCCATGACCTGGCTACTGACTGGGTGGAGTCTGTGCCGCCAGCAGCCAGGCTCTGTGCCCACTGCTACCAGCGAGGCCGTGACCCTGGGTCCTGCAGAGGCAGGACTCTAGGAGGGACCAGAGGACCGCAGGGACGCCGGGGCGCCCTCAGCCGCTCCCCCCGCCCTGGTGCTGGTCACACTACCTCCAGCAAAGGGGTCTGCTGTCCCTAACTCTGTTGATGCAGGATCTGCAACAGCCTGAAGCGAAGGAGGAAGGATTTTCTTACCGTGCTGTGTTGTGAGAAATCACCAAGGTTCGGATAGGGAGACATGAAAAGAAAAAGAAGGAGAAGGTCAGGCGTTTGCAGAGGCGGGGTCCTCCGAGGCCACCTGGGCCTCAGTCTGCGCAGTCTCGGCGCCGCAGCTGGGAGTGGGCAGCTCGGTTCTTTTCCCCGAGAAGTCTAGTGACATTTCTAATAACAACTTAGACCTAATGAAATTAAACCTTAATTTTATTAAAAAAAAAAAGTGTGATCCTTAGAGGGCGCCAATAGAACCATAATGCAATTCACAAGTAGGAGCCACATATGCAATCTAAAAATTTCTAAAAGGAAAAACAGAAGTTAGTTTTACTAAGTTTATTTATTCCCACATGTCCAAAGTCCTTCAATCTGAACACACAACCAGCGGCAATGCATGAGTGTGGTATCCTGTGTTCTATTTTGTGCCGTGTCTTTGAGACGCGGCGTGTGTTGACGGGGCACCTGTGGGGACCGGCCACATCTCAGGGGCTCGCGGCTCTCACACCACACAGCACGGGCTTACGGGGCCGTTCCTTAGGAAATGACAAGCTGGAGAGAAGCACAGGCTGCAGAGCTTTACCAACAACCAACGTCCCATTTTCAGGACTAAGGTTATCACCAGAATGAAGCCCCTAGGCAGAGGCTGTAATGTTACTTCTGTTTACCACTGAGAGGCAGGGACCTGAGGCGGTGCCTTCCACTCACGAGGCATTCAAAGAAATATTTATTGAATAAGTGAATAGGAATAACTTTCAATGTCAACTGAACCGTTTTCCTCAACGCTAAGCTCCAGCCCATTTAGAGCATACAGAAAGTTCTATAGCGAATGCCTTTTATTTCTGAAATGGCAATTCTTCTTGCCAGGATACAGCTTAATTGTTCTGTGAAGGCAGAATCTTAAAGTTTCTCCACGGAACGAGTTGTTGGAATACCGATAAAATCTCCCATTGACACGCGCCCAACACTTGCGGAGGTTTTGGTCAGAGTCGGTGGCGGTTCCAGTTTACAGCATGAATTGTTGCTGACGGAGCTAAGCAGGTTCTGCTATGAAATATAAGCAGAAGCCTAATGCATTGGGCCTCGGGCTGCCACAGCAAGTCCACGGGCCAGCGAGCGCTTTCCCACAGGCGAGGGCGAGGACCCCCGGGTGGGGGGTTGGAGGGGATTAGCGGGGGCAGCCACGGGCCACTCTCCGGACACGTCTGGGCTCCTGGTCTGAACACAGGCCCCGCACTGAACTACATGTCAGCACCAGCGCACTTCCTGTCCCTACAACAGTTTCAGGAGAGGCAGTGCGGACCATCCAGAACGCCATCTTGGAGCCGCTGTAGTTTTCCACCAGGACTCTCCCTGCACTGCAATAGTTCCAGCTCTTCCCTGGCTCACACGGTGGCTTCAGTAAACACAGAGGTGCGGCGGCTGGAGCCAGCAGTTAGCTGTTAGCGAGCAGGAACGCGCTGGAAGCCCGCGGCTTTGTCCTCCGCAGGGCAGCGCTGAAAATCAGCGGAACACCCGACCTGATGGCCCTCGCACTGTTTACCCGCCCTTCCCTTCATCCGCCGCAGGCCTTGCTGAGGGGCAAATGTGTGTCCACATCAGGCGGACCGAGCTGGACCGGGCCAGACCGCCCGGAGTCCGGTGCCTCTTCCAGCGAGGCCTCCACTGGCCGCAGGCCTTCTAAGTGCCCATTTCCTGGGCAGCATTCGCATGTGCGCGGCCCCTCCTCAGACCTGCGCCCGCCAGGAGGTCGGCATGAGGGGCGGGGAGAAGGGAAGTCCTGCCCGCAGACGCGGTTCAATCCGGTTCAATCCGAAAGCCCTGCACACGGACGCCTGGCAGCCGCACCGTGAACCCGCTGCTGCCAGGAACGGCAGGAAGAACTAGTTCCCCAACAAATGCAGCGCCAAACCAGGACCGGGAGGCGCGGAGGGGAGGGGTCCGCTGCACCGGGCACTCAGCGCACTGCGGCAGCAAAACACGTGCACTCACACAAGCGGGCCCCCCGGGCGCGGGCT